AGGGGAGGGAAGGGAGGGAGAGAGGAGGGGGAAATGGTCAGGGTGAGGGGAAGGAAGGGAGGGAGCGAGGAGGAGGAAGAGAGTCGAGAGGGGAGCTGAAGGCACGGTCAAAGAGAAAGGTTTTGAGACCGGCCTTGAAGGAGGAAAGGGAGGAAGCAAGGCGAAGGCACTGGGGGATGGAGTTCCAGAGCCTGGGGGCTGAGAGGCTGAAGGCCCGACCACCGATAGTAGGGCGGTTGGGGCGGGGGACGTGGAGCAGACCGGAGCCAGAGGAACGGAGGGTACGGGCAGGTAGGTAGGGGGATAGTAGGTTGGAGAGGTAGGAGGGAGCAAGGCCGTGAATGGCCTTGTAGGTGAGGATGAGGATCTTGAAATCAATCCTCTGGGGGATGGGGAGCCAGTGGAGGCGAGCGAGGGTGGGAGTGATGTGGTCCCGAAGCCTGGTGCGGGACAGTACACGAGCTGCAGAGTTCTGAATGACCTGCAGCTTGTGGAGGGAGGTGGCGGGAAGGCCGGCGAGGAGAGAGTTCCCATAGTCCAGCCTTGAGGTGACAAAGGCGTGAACCAGGGTTTCAGCAGCGTGAGGGGTGAGGTAGTGCCGTAATCTGGCGATGTTCCGGAGGTGATGGAAGGCGGTGCCAGTTGTGGTGCGGATGTGAGGGAGAAAGGACAGCTCAGGGTCGAACAAAACGCCGAGGTTCCTGACTGGCTTTGAGAGGTGGAGAGTGCAGCCTTGGATGCTGATGGTGTCAGCGCCTGAGGTGCGGAGGCGCTGACGTGAGCCAATCAGGAGGGCCTCGGTTTTTCGCACGTTGAGCTGAAGAAAGTTGTCTCTCGTCCAGGACTCGATGTCGGACAGGCAGGCTGTCAGGACATCGGTGGTCGTGGAGTTGAGAGTAGAGGAGGAAAGGTAGAGTTGGGTGTCATCCGCATACATGTGGAAGTTAACCCCATGTTTGCGGATGATGTCACCAAGGGGGAGCATATAGAGGGTGAAGAGGAGGGGACCGAGGACAGAGCCCTGAGGGACACCACATGAGACAGTACGGGGGGTGGAGGAGAAGCCATTCGTTGAGACGAAGTGAAGACGGTGGGAAAGGTAAGAGCTAAACCATTCAAGGACAGTGCCTTGAAGGTTGAGGTGGGAGGACAAGCGGTGGAGTAGGATAGCGTGGTCGACCGTATCGAATGCTGCCGATAGGTCGAGGAGGACGAGGAGACAGAGGGAGCCCTGGTCACAGATGGTCAGGATATCATTGGTGACCTTGACCAGGGCAGTTTCTGTGCTATGGGCAGCACGGAAACCTGACTGAAGGGGTTCGAAAGAGAATGGGTGGAGAGGAAAGAGCGCAGTTGGGAGGCGACAACTCTTTCCAAGACCTTGGAGAGAAAGGGGAGGTTGGAGATGGGCCGGTAGCTTGATAGCTGCGACGCATCAAGGGAGGGTTTTTTCAGGGTGGGCGTGATGATGGCAGTTTTTAATGGAATGGGGACAGAGCCAGAGGAGAGGGACAGGTTTATGATGTCAGTGATGTGTGGGGCAAGAAAGTGGAGCTGGGAGATAAGGAGTGGAGTGGGGATGGGGTCAAGGGAGCAGGTGGTTGGTTTTAGGGATAGGATGAGTTCAGTGACAGAGGGTGGGGAAACGGGTACGAAGGTGTGTAGGGGAGGATGGGTAGGAGTCGGAGTGTGGGAGGGAAGGGGTGGGTTGTGGGTGGAAGTTGGAGGGGAAGTGACCGCGGAGCGGATTCCCTTGATCTTGGATTCAAGGAAATCCAGCATCTCCTCGCAGTGAAGGTTGGAGGAGATGACCTGCGCGGGGTGGCGGGGGGGACGGAGGAGTCGGGATGTGGTGGAAAACAGTAGCCTGGGGTTGTTCTTCGCCTCCAGGATTATCCTGGAGTAGAAGGACGACTTGGCCGAGGCTAGAGTGGAGCGGTAAATTTTGAGGAGGTCCAGCCAGATTTGTCGGTGGACCGTTAGGCCAGATTTGACAAAGGTGCGCTCAGCAGCCCGCACCTGGCATTTCAGTGAGCGGAGGTGGGTGGTGTACCAGGGGGAGGAGCGGGAGTAGGAGACAGTGCGGGAAGTGATGGGGGCAAGAGTAAAACAGTTTGGGGGGAACATCTTCACTCAGAGGATGATGAGAATGTGGAACTCATTGCTGGTTGAAGAAGAAAGCATCAGCATATGTAAAAGGAAACTTGATCAATACACAAAGGAGAACGGAAGACATGATTAGGAGGGTTGAAAGCTGTCAGTACTCTTTATAAAACACTTTCAGAGAATCCTAGCAATTACAGCAGTGGAAGGCTATAGGTCCCTTCGAGCCTATACTGTTGCTAGCTCCTCCTAGATTTATTTGCTTTGATCCCAAATCAGTGCTTTTTCTCCGTACACTTTAATATTCATCCTCTTCAAGTGTTGGTCAACTAACTTTTAAATATTACCTGATTCTTGAAAAGCCACTTGGCAAAGCATTCCATATTCTAATACCTCCCTGTGTGGAAAAATATCTATTAACTTCCCGCTCAAGTATTCCAGTGGCTATATTGAGGTTATACCCCCCTTGCAATTTACCAGCTAGCAAGAATAATTGTTCCCAGTCTTTCCTCTCAAACAAATTTTGTTAATGTAGTACATTAATCAGTGTTCCGTGCTGATTTCCTTTGTGATTTATTTAATAAACAATCGGCATTTTAAAGCATTTGTTTCTTTTTTAAAAAAAAATCGCTTTAAACAAAAAGCATTACAGCGAATTTCAGCATTTAGTGCTTTTAATTTGCTTAATGCATTCAAAGTGTATTTTGGAATTGATTTGTGCTATCATTGAAAGAATGGGCTCCTTTGACTAATTAGTCAAATACACAAGCAACGGTTTATAACAGTAGAAAGACTGCATGTGCTCATTCTATACATAAATCAAATAAATCTGATGCAATACTTAATAACGTACAGCAGTGTTCTTTCATATAGATACCAATTTGGATGTTTGGAGAGTTGGAAGTTTCTATTTATACTTAGCTTAAAGAACATTCAATATTGCACAGAGTAATGGAAGATTCCTTATTTGGAATTTTTAAGAACTGTGAAAATATGTCTTCCAAATTAAGACTGGATTGAAGAATTTTCATCAATTTTGCAAGTTCTTGCATTTTAAGACACAGTGGTTCAGCAGGCTAAAACAAGGTGAAATTTCAGACCTTGGGACCTTACTGCTCAACCCCCAAATTCTGGCAGATCGAAATGGAAATCTCAATCACACCAGTTTATTTCTGCACAGATTGCATTGCAGTTGCTCAGAGACTCTGAATTGTAAGGAAGAAAGAACCCAAAATGAAAACATGAAGGGACACTGATGGAAAATGTAAGCAAAAGAAAGAGAGTAACTTTAAGATGAATGAAAGGAGTCCTAGAAGCAGTGGCATGATGTGGGCAGCATTTTGAATCCACCCGGTGCCAACTGTGAGGCTGTGTGAAGATTGACTTGTTTGTCCAAATGGCTATCTTAATTTCCTCTTGAATTGCAACATGATCTGTGGTCTGATGCCCAAGTGCAGTGTAATTTTCTCAGAAGCACCATTGTGTGAGTAATAGGTGCAGTGGGGTTTACTGACTGTTGGCTTTCTCCAGGGGCAGCCTGCGGGATAGAGCACTGGCATGGGATTGGGAATCATTGTGTACTATTTGACTCAGCGCTTTAGGATGTCCTTCAAATGTGAAAGATGCTATATAATGCAATTTGTTCATGTTGACTTGTGAGAGTATAAACCCCATCACGAACTAGTTGAGCTGAATGACCTGTTTCCATGCTCTATAGTCTTATGTATTTCTCTTCTGTCCACACATATACACACATGTACTAACCAGTCTCTTGGGAGACTTATGGAGAGGAGGTTCACCGCAACTTGTAATAGATTCACAATTCTACAGTGTTGTTAATTTTCTTATTTGATGTTCAGTGGCAATTTGACTCAGTTGTTGAACCGTTGCCTCTGAAGCAGAGATTGTGGGTTCAAGCCCCACACTGGAACTGAACTTGAACTGAACAGCTGACAATCCTGTGACACTCCAATGGGGCAGCGCTGTCCTTTGGATGAAACGTTAAATCGAGATCCTGCCTGAGCCTGTTCATGTGGATGTTAAAGATCGCATGGCCCTTTTTCGAAAAGAGAAAAGTTTTTTCCTGGTTTCTTAGCCAACAATCCCCCTAAAAAATAATTGGTCATTCACTTTATGGCTATTTGTGAGATGTTGCTGTGTACAAATTGGCTCCTGCTTTTGTATACAAAATACTACACTTCACTCAAAACACTTCACAGTAAATTCCTGTGAAGCACTTTGAGAAATCCTTCCCAAGTAAAAGGCGCTAAATCAAATGCAAAAATTTTATTGTATTACTTTTATTATTAGAAATAGCTTGATACTGGTGCACAGCTAGCAATCACAAAATAGGACTTTGTTCCATGAAATGATCAAATGATTATCAAATGATCTTTTTCATTTGTGCTTTAATATATTACAATTTGCATTTTTATTACACCTTACACATCAGGAGGATGTAAAGCCTTTTGCACAGTTGGCTGGGCACCTGAGCCTGGGAGAGTGTGGGAGCTGAAGAGGGTGGGGGGACAAAGCTGACCAAAAGGGCACTCAAAGAGGTAAGTCTAGGCAGACTTTGAAAGTGGGGAGGGAGGTGGCAAGTTGGAGGGATGGAGTTCCAGAGAATAGTCGGAATGGCTGAAAGGTGACCCACCGATAGTAGGTTTGGAAAGGGCGGGGGACAAGAAGCAGCATAAATGAAAAATAAATTTTCTCAATTAAAAATAATTGTGCAGATATTTTTTTCTGAATACCTTTGTTACATTTCTTGGAGAAGACTTGCAAAGGGCCTTTTTTTAAAAAAGAAAACTGTATGAACAAGCGCTATTTCGATGTTTTAATTTCCTTAATGCATTTAAAGTATGTTTTTGAATTGATTTGTGTTGCTGTCTGTCTAGGAGAGAGTATTGCACAACTAACGGATGTGGGCTCCTTCGACCAGCCCGAGTCAGACACAAGAGCAACGGTTTATACAGACAAAACTGGAATGATAAAAGCTGCACGGCTGCTGCTATCCTCTGTTACGAAAGTGCTGGTGTTGGCAGACAGAGTTGTTGTAAAGCAGATCATAAGCTCGAGAAGCAAGGTACGTCAGTTTTTTTTAAAAAAAACGGTTTGCAGAATGTAGCAATTTATAAAACTTCCATGCAGTAAGTTTGTTGCCCCATATTTTTATATGAAACGAAACTAAGTAAAAACTAATGTGTTCTGCCTATAATGGCTTGGAAACAAAGCACTAATTAAACGAAAATGTGCTGCCCCTGGGTACACAGTACTAGTTCCACAATATCTGCTTTTCTCCCCATTACAGAATAATCTGACAGGTAATTACCTTCCGATATTAATGCAGATACGTGGATTGTTACAGAGATAATTATAGTCTCCGTAATGAGCATATGAGAATGTGAGCTTCCCAATTAAATGTGGAGTGATTGTTGTCTTTTATGAACGATAGTGAGGCACACGACCCTGGTGAGCCCTGACACACACACACACAGCCCTGGTGAGCAGTGACACACACACACACAGCCCTGGTGAGCAGTGACACACACACACACAGCCCTGGTGAGCAGTGACACACACACACACAGCCCTGGTGAGCAGTGACACACACACACACAGCCCTGGTGAGCAGTGACACACACACACACACAGCTCTGGTGAGCAGTGACACACACACACAGCCCTGGTGAGCAGTGACACACACACACACACAGCCCTGGTGAGCAGTGACACACACACACAGCTCTGGTGAGCAGTGACACACACACACAGCCCTGGTGAGCAGTGACACACACAACAACAACAAAATTACATTTATAAAGCGCCTTTCACGTCGGGAGGACGTCCCAAGAAGCTGGTTAAAACACACAGCCCTGGTGAGTAGTGACACACACACACACACATCCCTGGTGAGCAGTGACACACACAGCCCTGATAAGCAGTGACACACACACACACAGACTTGACAAGACGGTGCTCTCAATGACGAGCTATTGCAGTTTTCGGTCATGAGCTTTGATTCACAAGCTTTCTAGAATTGGGTGAACAGGGAGCACCTCTTCAAGCGAGAGAGTGCGCATTCATAATGGACAAGGCTAATTTCTATGTGTCGGTGGTTAAGCATGGTGATGGGTTTCCGCATGTGTTAGGCTAATTAAAATAAAAGCCAAAGATTAATGAATAGAAAGTTCTTATCCAAAACTTCAAGGGAACGGGGCTTTAGAATAACTTGAACTCTGCCTGAATTCAGTGAGGTTTGTTCTTGAAGTTTTGTATATTGTTTAATTTTGTTAATTTTGACGGGGTGGGGGAAAGGGAGAAATAAAATGCGATAACTTTACAGCAAGTCTAGACGGAAAAGTGAAGTTAACATTTGCCAGATCATTCACACCAAAAAATTTCACCTTATTTCCAATTCACATGCCTGTCATATGATTCCTGCACATAGTCACTACACTTCAGCAATTGTGTGGCAAGTGCTTTGAGCCATTTTGATGTCCATGCACTATATCAAATGCAAGTCTTGTTATATATTTTGTTGACCTGCTATGCATTTGCCAGAATGTTCAGTTATTTCAGATTTACATTTTGTTTTCCTTCTTTAAAACAAATAAGCTTGTGCATTTGCACATTGGCAGCAACAGCTGAAAGCCCTGTGGGGAGCTGCAGTGACTAAAGGTAAATTACCTACAGTATTTAAGGTAAATAACAGCTTTACCAAGCTGAATGTCAGCCTGGCTCAGTTGGTAGCACTCTAGCCTCTGAGTCAGAAGATTGTATTCAGGTGTACGCTAAAGATCTCATGGCACTTGAGAAGAGAAGGGAGTTTCTTTCGTTGTCATGCCCCAGATTTTTTTTAAAAAATGATCATTCACTTCATGGCTCCATGTGGTAACTGTGCAAAAAGGCTGCTGTGTTTGCCAACAAATACACAGTCACTACACTTCACAGTAATATCTTGTTCAGGTTTCTTACAATGTGATAAGGTGCCAAATGAAATGCAAAAATTATAAACGTTATTAAGTTGTATTTCTAGCTTTACCCCTCCCTCTGCACAGTGTCATGAAAAAATGAGTTTCAGCCTCTTGCTCCCCACGGTCCTCTCGGGAATATTGTGCACTGAATGATCTTTACAGATTGTATTTTTTTAAATAATCCCAATAAAAGCTCTCCAGGCAAACAAATGCAGATATGTAATTGAAAGAACCTCTCAGAGGAATTTAATTTGCACATTTAATTAAACATTAACATCAAAACAGAACTTGAATTGCTTTAAATTATGACCAATATGCTGAGACATGTCTATGCAATGTTGATAAGATCCATACTGGCTATTGAGACCTTGACGGATATGAGTTCCTTGCATAAAACTGCTCTGTGCAAATAATCACTCAAAGGGAAACTTAATCCTTGCATTTGATATAGCGCTTTTCATGTCGGGAGGACGTCCCAAAGTGCTTCACAGAACACACTGTAAAGTGAATTGACTGTATATTTGTGGGCGAATGCGGCAGCCAATTGCGCACAGCAATGTCCCACAAACAGTCGTAGATTGAAAATGACCAACTTAACATTGAAAGCTTCCAGTTCTTACTCCAGTGCAAGAAACACTGATTGTCCAGTGCCTTGGGATGTCCTCCCGACGTGAAAGGAGCTATACAAATATAGGTTCAATGAGCTAAAGTAACCTGAGCTAAATTGTCAACTTGGAATTCTGTTCTTTTATTTCTGTACAAAAAGACAACCTATACCCTACTGAAGAAAAAATAAAAGGTAGAATCCATAATCAGATAAACTGGCAGTCATTGTCCCAAGAATTCATGCAGAATTTCAATTATTAATAATAAATATAATAATAATAATCCTTGCATCTGATATATTGCTTTATAAATAAATGTAAGTTGTTGATATAATGGTTTCCCGATGAGAGGATATCTAAAAGCGCTTCACAGGATATATTGTAAATAGTCATTGCATTTTGTAGGCGAACACTGCAGACAATTTGCTCAAAGCAATATCCCACCATGTTAGCCAGCACTGGCAGAAAAAGAATAAAAATGGAATGAAAGAAATCCCAAGTTAGATATTCAAAAATTCAAATACTGAAAGACAATCAAACCTGTTCAAGCAACCACCTCCATTCAGCAACCACCCCTTGTTATAACCTGGAACAGCCCAGTTCACACACCAATGAACACTTACTCAGACTCTACCTTTATATAAAGGCCACTTTGGTCCAGTCCCCTGAGCGATTGTTGAAGACAGCTTTGACTGTATCTTCGAAAATGTTGGCATCATCTAATCTCTCAATTAATTGCTTAGAGTATTTCCCTTCTATTAATTGCTTGATTCCTGATCAACGCTACTTTTCCATTTAAACAAACCATGCCCTTTTGACAGTAATTTGCTGGTTCCTCGTAGCCAATGACTCAGGTGATTTTCTGCCCTTCATCACCACAAGGGTTCTTCACCGCAAGACGCTGTTCTCTTGTAATGAAACAAATCCTCAACTTTGCTATGTTTTGTGATTCTCTTAATACTGCACTTCACTTCAGCTCTTGTTTTAAGAGTGGTGATCCAACACTGTTTACAATAGGCTACCTAAATCTTTAATATATCACAAGATTGGTTCAGATGAAGAAAGCCCTTCAGATCTGATCTCATCCTTCCAGAAGAACTACCTTTCCTGACATTCTGTTCCAGTCGTTTCTGTACTGCGCTCCAAGACGCTATCCCATGTGAAGGGCACTATATGAATGCAAGTTGTTGTTCCTTGTCGTTAATTACTCTCTGGGCAAAGAAAAACTTCCTGGTGTCTGTCCCGAAATTGCCCTTATCCTCTGCCATCCACATACTGACTCGGACCAAACTCCATTCCCGCATCTCACCAGTTCTGGCCAGGCTCTACTGGCTCCCTATCACCGAACGGATCGACTTCAAGGTACCAGCCTCCTGCTCGTGCCTCACACCCCCCCATCCACACCCCACCACCATCGGAGGTCGTGTTTTCAGCCACTACCATCTAAAACCCCACACACCCGGCTCGGAGTCAGGCTCCTCCACTGTTAAGCGTTCTGAGATGGTACCCAAGTTGTTGTTGTTAGTGTACAATCTATACTAACAATGGAAATTCAGCAGGTTGAGGTTCTTCTCCACTACCTGAAAACCAATTGTATATCAAGCTAACATTTCTTGAATAGTTACAAGTATTGTTTATAACAAATGAGCTTCTCAATCGCTTTGTTCATTTTGTGCCTGATCACATGTCAACTAATAATTACGCGGCAGTTGGGTTTAATGAAATCATTACTTATGTCTGAATTTCTAACCTCTCCCAGGGATGTAGATCATTCATTAAGATTGACTCAAAAGTTTAGTTATTTTCAGGTTGGTGTTAAGTTTAATCTTCAAGTCCGAAAGACCTACTTGAGTCTATTTACTGTTTTTTATGTACCCCTGAATTTTCCTGATTGACCAATTCATTTTGGTCTCCTAACCATGCAACTTTTCAGAGCAGGGTAATTTTAAAATCGAATATACAATTATCTTTCTATACTAAATTGACTTGTTAATGGGGACATGCATCTCTCAAATCCATTCATTCCGCCTCCCAAGCCATTAAGAAAGTGGTTGGTATCCACAGGCCACACTCAATTATACTACCTAACTCCTTTCATCTCTTGCAACAACAACAACAAGAACATTGCATTTATAGAGCGCCTTTCACGTTGGGAGGACGTCCCAAGGCGCTGGACAGTTGGGTCGGGACCCGAGCAGGGGGGAAATGGTCAGGGTGAGGGGAGGGAAGGGAGGGAGCGAGGAGGAGGTAGAGAGTCGAGAGGGGAGCTGAAGGCACGGTTGAAGAGAAAGGTGGAGTCCTGTAGCTCAGTGGTTAGAGCACTCGCTTTGCAAGTGAGAGACCTGAGTTCAATTCCAGGCAGAGGGCGAAACCTTGGGCAAGTTTCCTTACTCCACACGCCTAATAATAATCCCTCCAAAACAAAACAATAATAAATTGGTCATTTTCAATCTACGACTGTTTGTGGGACATTGCTGTGTGCAATTGGCTGCCGCGTTCGCCCA